TTTTTTAAATGGGAAAACATGCAGTTAATAATAAAGTTGAAAACTTTGACATGAAAGGAAATCTGCTGAGGCAGGGAGGCCTGTTAGCCTTTCCCAAGGTATTGCTGCAAAAGCTCACTGCTAGAGCCATTGGGGAAAAAAATAAAAATAAAAAAATAAAAAAGAAAGGAAATCCATCCTAGGATGCCAAATACTGCAGAATACAATGGCTTTATTGGTCTTTTTTGAAAATTTTAGCATTTACTGGAATTTGGAATCTTCCTTCTGTTCATTCCTTGTGACCATCCCCATTTTATCTACCTCTCAAATTCATAGGAATCTCTGAAATTTAGCTCTTCTTTTTGTCCAGATATTTACAATGTTTAATACAACTAGTCTGTAATCTCATATACCACCAGTGTCAGTGGACAGTCACATGACATATTCCTAAGTGAACAGAAACTCAACCCTTTAAGTTCTATCACATGAATTAATGAAGGCAAATAAAACTTCCTTTTTATTCCTTTCTTCATCCTTTGTGGAACATGGCAATAGGGGAAGGTCTAGGAAGAACAGTTAAGAGATGCAAAATGAAAAAAAAGGCAATTTCAACAAAATTACTTTATTAAAAAGGCCTATGATGAAAAATGACATACAATATACACATATGAATATAATTATGTGACAGCTGACACACAGAACAATGCATTTATGTCATTACACAGAGAAATGTTTATATAATGCTGTGAGATCTCAAGTTTTATATTGGGTTTGTCTTTCCTAGATAGATATCTGCCATCGCTGCTAACAATGATTTTTTGGATCAACAGTCAAAAGATACTTTTTTTTCTTTATTTACAAAATTCAAATAGATTCTGGCAAATTGGGGTTCATAATGAATGTGTACACTATCAGCTGGCTCTCCAAATATGTTAAGCAGACTTTTATATCCATGCAGGCTGAAGAGAAAACACTTTTTTTTTTATTTTTTAGACAGAGTTTTACTCTTGTGCAGTGGCACAATCTTGGCTCACCACAACCTCCACCTCCTGGGTTCAAGCGATCCTCCTGCCTCAGCCTTCTGGGTAGTTGGGATTATAGGCATGTGTCACCACGCCTGACTAATTTTGTATTTTTAGTAGGGATGGGGTTTTGGCCAGGCTGGTCTCGAACTCCCGACTCCAGGTAATCTGCCTGTCTCAGCCTCCCAAAGTGCTGGGATTACAGGCGTGATCCACTGCACCTTGCCTGAAGAGAAAACATTTCTAAACTTGCTTTGTATTTAGATGGATAGCTTTAGAAAGGAGGAGAGAGCAACATGTATTCTTCCACACTGTGTGGTAGGAAACAAACACCAGTAGAATAACAATATGGAAGAGAGCAAGGCAGATTTCATTACAGTAGAGTGCCTACACTTCCTCATAACTTGGATTTACACACTGCAAATCCTCTGATCTGATTACCTCCAGTGATCACGTAAAATACCGGCTTTAAACTCTTTGCCTTAGTGATAAAACAGCCACTTTGATTCACAACGAGACATTCACAATAAAGTATATTGTAAACGTACCTGTCCACAGCCTGGGGCATTGCACACAAACGGTCTGTCGTCTCCCATATTTCATATAGCAGAGCGGAGCTGAGGAGGGGGAGGTGGGGGAAAAAGTTATGTTAAATATGCTGGAGCAAAAAAAAAAAAGTGCTTCAAAAATATGAACCCTAGAAACAGGTGTTCCACGAATGCCATCTATCAAAGTTGTAAACACAGGCTACTTTGGGGAGACCCATTAGACAGGTGGCATATGATCTACTGTGCCTCAATTGAAACTTTTAATTAGAAAGATTGAGATCTAAATAGTCGAGGAATTTCAAACCTTTGCTAGATTTTCCCTTTCTACTACAGTATATAACACACTTCTCCAATCTGCTGAATTACAACTAGTGCAGTTCCCTATGTCAATAAATTCACTGAACGCTCGATGCGGAAGCCATATTTCTGAACTAGAGAAGACCAAAATTTGTCATTTAATTAATTAAGGGATTATAGGAGGGGTGCTCCATTTTACAGGGCCATAATCTGGCTCCCTGGTGTATAAACTACGAGACTGTTGGCAAGGGCTGTTTATCCCATATTATTGCCAAAGAAAACAAAGCACCCATCCTATTGGGCTACACGGGAAACGGTTTTCATTAATAAAAAAATAAAAATAAAAACCAGCAGCCTCCTCCTCCCCCCACCAATCGTCTGTGGCAAATGGAGAAATATCGATGCCCTTCCCCCCTCTGATTCTATTTATGGCTAGGTTTTTAAAAGCAGCAATAAAACAAATGTCGGCTCTTTGGGGGTTTGCTGGGTGAATATGTTCCGGCTGTTTGTGCTGCTCTCGGCCAGTGTTCTTGGGCTGCTCTGCTGCAGCCAACAGATGTGTGCTGCTGCAGGGGATAAAAGAAATGGCACTAAAAGGCATCACCATCCATCCCTTCTATTTCTCTGAAGACTTTAACAGGGTTTATACTGTTTTTTAAATTATTGAAGCTAAACTCTCAAAGTGTTTATTGAAATTCTTTGTTGAAGAACAATAATTCCAATCTGAATGTGTCGGAGAAATTTCTTATATCCCAACTAGGAATAAAAATAGAAGTGGCGATGGATAAAGATTAGAAATGCAAATCATAGTAAAAACAATTCCTAAAAGATAAACAGTATTTTGCAAGGGTGGAAGAGAAAAATGGAGTGGGGGATAAAAATAGTCTTATAAACTCCTGAACGACATTTTCAAACATCCTTCCATAAAAGAGAAAGGTATACAAAAGAATATGAACGAGGGAAGATGAGAGAGGAACTACAATTTGAATATGCCTGGAAATGACTTCAGAACTGCAACCAAATTTCAAATTTTTATCTTGGAAATAAATTGAAATGTCAGGACAATCTGTCAGGCTCAGGTTGAAATAAAATGTTAACATGCTAGACTGAATCTGGTAATCGGAAAACCATGCTTAAAACTCAGAGGGTAGCTAGGTAATATCTCTCCTACTCTCTTAGGATGCACTCTGGGGTGAGAAACCAGTATTTCTGGTTGTCTAATCAGTAATTCCACAACTAATTGGTGTTTAAAATTGTGGGGTTCCCCATAAAATTGAAGGGGCTTCTTGGTCATCTTTCAGCGTGATAGAAACATGGTCTAACTAGGAAGGAAACTGATGCTACAGCACTGCTGTAATGGAACAGAGCCTGTACGTACATACATGTACACAGATTTATATCACATTTAGCCAGGATAAATTGCTTCAATAAATTCTGTTCCTAGGAGAGGCCAGCTCAAGCTGATGATTGGGTACGGGGAAATGAGAGCTTCATTCTTCTTCACACAGCCCCAGGATGAGGGGATTTTCTGGTTTGTTTGTTTGTTTTAAATACATGACGATTTTTTAGCACTTTCTGGAACTAAAGCATGGTACAAAAAATAAATGAAAGTAAACAAAAGTAAATAAATGCAAAGACCAGGACCATTATGGCTGAAAACTTAGAGCATCTCTGGAAAGCAATTTATCTCTGGAAAAATTCCTAACTCCTGTGCTAGAGATAATTTCATTACATGTCCCAGAATCTGCTTTCCTAACATAATCACAAAATGAAAATTTTGTTTCAAAAAGGTCTTATATATTTTCAACCAGGAAGTAAACTACAATGGCTAGAGGAGACATAACACAAGGATCAGGCAGGATTCCTTACTTTTATCTTGGTTCTATTATTTGATGCTAAATTTTCTCATTTTTCTACCTATTTAGAGGAGAGAAACAGTTCTGGCTGAGAAGTGGGACAGTATTGGCATAGGAAGTGGTGAAATAAATTCTGGAATGGTTTTCCTCAAACCACAAAATTCAAAATGTAACTTGGCTTTGCATAATTACATCACAATATATGGCTTCCAAATTTTACTTAGTGGCACACTTACTAGGAAATAGATGAAAAATCATGACTTTCTGAAAGAAATAAAAAAAGCAAAACCAAAACAATTTTGGGGGAAAAAAGCATTAAAACCTAACAGAAGTATTTTCATTGCTCTTAAATATTCAACTGACAGCCACTAACTAGGATTTCCTGCTTCCTCCTAAATTTGCTGGCCTTTGTTTTACCATTTTCACCAAAGGGAGATCACAATGAGAGGAAGAAGGCTCTCTTCTTAAACACCCACAATTATTCTTAAATCATTCCTCAGTCTCTTGCCTCTCGTCATTTCAATTATTCTTGTTTAAAAATTGTTTCACACTGAAGTGATTTTTAAAATTTAAATATTTAACAAAAATAAGAATGATCTGTCTCCCCATTTTAAAAAAATCCAGCTAACATCTTTTTTTTCTTTTAATTTCTCCTTCACTCCTAGTCTGCTACGTCAATTGCCACATATAAAGAATGCCATTTTGCTTATTTCTATCTGACGCTTAAAACAAATTTCTAATTATCAGTGAGGTCTCACTGATGCTGTCTCAAAAACAAAAAGCAACACATTTCCGTAGTGTAAACAGACTAAGACATAAAGTAAAATCTTGAAAACCAAAGCTGCCACTCACTAGAATTTAACCCACAGCTCATTTGTAACTATACTGCTTGACAAACAGATCATATGTCTGGGCAAGACACTCACAATGTGTCATCTCCTTCCCAACCTATTCTTCAGGATGAAACATAAGCATTTTACACAACTAAACAATAAATGACAGAAGAGGGATACACCCATTAAAAAGCACTGCCAAGGGGAAGTGGAAAGCTTTCAGCAAAGACCTTAGAACAGGAAGACAAAGATGCATAAAAAGGCTGTCCTAGAGGCCAACATGTGCAGAAAAGGCTCATATACTCAGTCACCAGAATTTTAAAAATGATTTTTAAAAATTAGTATTTACTCAAAAGAGAAAGTAATCTAAATGCTGGGAGAGAACTGAAGAAAATCCAAAGTTCAGAGGATGACTTTTAATAACTGAGATAATTTCATAAAATCTGGTAGTTTTGTTAGATACAGAGGTAGATCCTAAAATGGTCATTGCGCAAGAAAACAGATACTCTCTTTATGTGTAGGTACATATCTATCTACATCCGTACCTTTTACTAGACTAAACATGGAGTCTATCACTGAGGATTACAAAGTAAATTCTCTAAACCTGGTGTGACATTACCATTATAATATAATAAGAAAAAATAATGCAGATACAGTGGGATGTGATCATTTCTCTAGCACCCAACTGATGTTAGTAAGATGGCCCAACTCTAAGCAAGGAATAAAAGCCACATACAAACACATCCAGGGGCCTGTTGTCAGGTTCCTAATGACAAACAACAGATACTGCTAGGTACAAAAAAAATAGAAGGATAATGCACTGTAATTATCAAAGAGTCATAAAAACCTGGAAGACGTTAAGACTATCATTCATTCATTCAGAACCCACTAATAAGGAACTATCAAGTGCTAGGCAAAGTGTATACAAAAATAAAAAGGCAATAGGCCTTCACACAAAAATAATTTTTTACTCATCTGTCATAAAAGAAACCAACATCATCAAGAATGATGGCTTAATTTACAAGTTCAATTAGTCAGAGGTTGATCAGTATACATAACATTTAGATTCTACTGTATACAGTCATTTATCAAATTAGTTTGTTAGTAACTCCAGATTATAAAAAAGAGGAGTTGGCCGGGTGCGGTGACTCACACCTGCAATCCCAGCACTTTGGGAGGCTGAGGCGGGTGGATCACTTGAGGTCAGGAATTCGAGACCACCCTGGCTAACATGGTGAAACCCTGTACCTACTAAAAATACAAAATTAGCTGCACCCAGCTACTCTAAGCAGGAGAATTGCTTAGAACCTGGGAGGTGGCAGTTGCAGTGAGCTGAGATTACGCCACTGCACTCCAGACTGGACAACAGAGGGAGACTGTCTCCAAAAAAAAAAAAGGGAGGAATTAACAGTCTTGGTAAAAGATTTACCAAGGAAGAAGTTTGAAATTAATAATCATAATTTGCTTTTTGGATTATACACATTTAGTTAATTTTAAAATTCATTAATTCCCCAAATATTTTACTCAGTATCTGTGTACAGCCCCATATGCCCTAGGCCCAAGTAATTGAAGAGTAAAGGAGACGGACAAGATTTCTGTCCTCATAGAGTTTACTTACATCCTAAAAGGAAGAAACAAACAATAAGCAAGTAAGCAAAATAATTTCAGATTAACAGCAGATAACTGCTATTAAAGGAAAATGAAAGGCTGATGATGTGTTGGTGACTGGGTGAGTGCTATTTTAGTTTCTTGACTAAAAAGGGAATGGCTGTATTATCTGTAATCAAAAGGGGAATGAGGTAGAATATACAGATCTAGGTTAAAACTGCAGGAAGCCTTTCTTCTCATAACATAGTAGATATTCGATAAATATTTATTGATTTAATATTTAATAAATATTTAAAGTCTATATTCGAGTTTGCACTTAACTTCAGGTTTCTGCAGAAAGCTGCTGGATCCACAAAATATTCGTTATGCAAGTATTTACGTATTTAAAGCTACACATATTTTAAATCCATAGTTATGACTATGTTGTGTCTAAGGTACTTTATATGACCACAGCCAACTAAGTCTATGCTTTTATCACCCAAATAACAGGAAGCTCTGTAGTTTTTGGTTATAGTGCTAAAAATGGGGAGGAGCGAGGAATTTGTCAAGTTAACCCTTAATCAAACCTTAAAAACAAAACCTCACCTATAGCTGTTAAGACATATATTCAAGGCCAGGTGTGGTGGCTCACGCCTATAATCCCAGCACTTTGGGAGGCCGAGCTGGATCAGTTGAGGTCAGGAGTTCAAGTCCAGCCTGGTCAACATAGAGAAATCCCATCTCTAGTAAAAACAGAAAATTAGCCAGGCATGGTAGCATATGCCTTGTAATCCAGCTATTTGGGGGGCTGAGGCAGGAGAATCGCTTGAACCCGGGAGGCAGAGGTTGCGGTGAGCCAAGATGGCACCATTGTACTCCAGCCTGGGCAGCTATCAAAAAAAAAAAAGATATATATTCAAGTATAAGAGCATGCCAATAGCGTGTTCAGCAGAAAGGGCACTTTCATATAGTACTTTTGGGAGTACACAGCTGGACAGTCTTTCTGGAAGTCAATCTGGCAATATTACATCAAATGTCTTAAAATGTTTTATACCCTTTGAAGAATTCATTCTTCTTTCAGACTCTCTAAGATAAAACCAGACATGTGGACCATTTTTGCATTAAAGTGTTTATCACAGTCATTTTTATGACCAAAAAAAGACAAGAATTAAACATTTAAGAGTGGATAAATATAAATTAAGGTATTGCCTTATAATAAACTATATTTAAGTTATAAAGATTAACATTTTGGGTCAGGTGTGGTGGCTCACACCTGTAATCCCAGCACTTTGGGAGGCTGAGACAGGCGGATCACCTGAGGTTAGGAGTTCAAGACCAGCCTGGCCAATATGGTGAAAACCCCGTCTCTACTAAAAACACAAAAATTAACGAGGCATGGTGGCATATGCCTGTAATCCCAGCTACTCAGGAGGCTGAGGCAGAAGAATCACTCGAACCCAGGAGGTGGAGGTTGTGGTGAGCCAAGATCATGCTATTGGACTCCATCCTGGGCAACAAGAGCAAAACTCTGTCTCAAAAAAAAAAAAAAAAAAAAGAACATTTTGAAAATGATTTAAAAACATGAGAAAATGCTATGCATTAAATGGAAAAAAATCCATAATATAAAATTGTACATGCACCATAATTCTAAATCTATAAAAAAGCAAACGAAGTAATAAGTATAGAAAAAATAAGAAAATTAACATCAAAATGTTAACAATCATTATCTCTGGATAATGGCAAGGCTATGAGTTTGAAGCCAGCCTGAGCAATATAAGAACCTTTCATTAAAAACAAAATTATAAAATTATAAACCACTTCATATAGAAAACAAACATGGTAGAAACTTAAACTTATATCAACACACAAGGTAAAACAGGCAGTTCAAAATAGCTCCTCCTTTTGTTATCTTCCAGGACCCATTTTTGGAATCCCATAAATGCTCCCTCACAATTATGCTTATATTAAACAATTAGAAATTGCCCCAGCCATGTATCACAAAGGGAATATAGAGTTGAAATCAAGTTTAGCAGGTACTGAGTACCTTTCAGCTCAGTACAAATAAACTGAAAAACTCAGGCATCCAAACAGAGCTCTATGGGTTCCATTTCTTTATGACAATAAAAAGGTATTATATGCAAACAGCTCTCTTCTAAGCACACAACTTTGGTTACCACATTTCAGACTCTAAAATAATTTAGCTGCTATTAAGCAAAGAGTACAAACACAAGCTCTTTGTCACAGCAGTCTCAACGTTTTATATTCTCCGTAGGATACTCAGTGCCGCTCTGATTTGCATTACATCTAGCAAACTGACTTAAGATTCAAGTTAACACATGAACTGTGAGACTATAATGCAGGTTATGGGAACCCCAGAAAACAAAGTAGACTACTCAAGTTTTACTAGGCAGATTATTTAGGTATTAAAATGTCTGTTCCTAGGCCAGGTGCCATGGCTCACACCCATAATCCCAAGCCTCCCGGGTTCAAGTGATTCTCCTGCCTCAGCCTCCTGAGTAGCTGGGATTACAGGCATGCACCACTACATCTGGCTAATTTTGTATTTTTAGTAGAAACAGGGTTTCTCTTTGTTGGTCAGGCTGGTCCTGAACTCCCAAACTTGGCTGATCTGCCTGCTTTGGCCTCCCAAAGTGCTGGGATTACAGGCATGAGCCACCACGTCCAGCTGTAAGACCCTGTTTCTAAAAAAAAAAAAAATTAGCCAAGCATAGTGGTGCATGCCTGTAGTCCCAGCTACTTCAGAGCTCAGGTGATTGAGATGGGAGGATCCCTTGAGCCCAGGAATTCAAGGTTGTAGTGAATTATGATCACACCACTGCACTCCAGCCTGGGACTATGTCTCAAAAAAAAAAAAGTTCACAAATTCTGGATTAATTTTCCATTGAATTATTTAGCATAACAACAGCTTAGCATATATTATCTCATTATAAGTAAATTAAATGTTCCAAAAGGATATTTAGAAAGCATATATGTACCCCTCTATAATCTTAAACTAATTAGCCTCATTGTTTTAAATCTTATGCTTTTTTTTTTTCAGGCAAGGTCTTGCTCTGTTGTCCAGGCTGGAGTGCAGTGGTGTGATCTCAGATCACTGCAACCTTTGCCTCCTGGGTTCAGGAGATTCTCATGCCTCAGTCTCCTGAGTAGCTGGGACTACAGGCACGCGCCACCATGCCCAGGTAATTTTTGTATTTTTAGTAGAGATGGGGTTTCACCCTGTTAGCCAGGCTGGTTTTGAACTCCTGACCTCAAGTGATCTGCCCGCCTCGGCCTACCAAAGTGCTGGGTTTATAGGCATGAGCCACCATGCCTGGCCTTTAGCCTTATTGTTTTATATCAGTGTTTTTTAAAGCACTTGCTAAGAGACTGGAAAACTGAGGCAGAGAGTTACAAAAAAATATATAGGCAAAAAAAATCAAGGGGTTAAGGCTGGTCTGATCCTAGTTACCTGTTCTCATACATTCCAAACAAGATACAAAAATGGGCCAGGTGCAGTGGCTCACACCTATAATCCCAGCACTTTGGGAGGCCGAGGCAGGGGGATCACTTGAGGCCAGAAGATGGAGACCAGACCAAGTAACATGGTCAAATCCCATCTCTACTAAAAATACAAAAATTAGCTGGGTGTCATGGCGGGGGCCTGTAATCCCAGCTACTTGGGAGGCTGAGGTGGGAGAATCTCTTGAATCCAGAAGGCAGAGGTTGCAGTGAGCTGAGATCATGCCACTGCACTCCAGCTTGGGCAACAGAGTGAGACTCCATTTCAAAAAAAAAAAAAAGAAAGATACAAGAATGGAGACCACATCTTTTTATTATCCCTGAAAGTTGTCTAGTTACAACTGAATCATGTTTTACCAACACTTCAGAACATAACAGGTACTGTTATATATGCTTAATATATGTAAACATGTTATATATGCTCATTATGTAAATGAATGTGCTGAAACATGAATTTGAAGGACTATATGTTCTGGGGTATCATTTTATTTAGGAAAATTAAATGATGGTCACAGTTTATTTTTTTGGTGGGTTTTTTTTTTTTGCGACAAGGTCTCATTGTTACCCAGGCTGGAGTACAGTGGCATGATCACAATTCACTGCACCCTCAATCTTCTGAGCTCTGCGGGGCGTGGTGGCTCACGCCTGTAATCCAAGCACTTTGGAGGCCAAGGTGGGCGGATCACCTGAGGTTGGGAGTTCAAGACCAGCCTGACCAACATGGTGAAACCCTGTCTTTAAAAAAACAAACAAACAAACAAACAAAAAAAACAGCAACAACAACAAAAAAAACTTCCTGGGCTCAAGTGATCCTCCTGCCTCAGCTTCTTGAGTAGCTGGGACTACAAGTGTTCCCCACCATGCCCAGCTCATTTCTTTTTTGTAGAGACAGAGGGTCTTACCACGTAGTCCAGGCTAGTATCACAACTCCTGGGCTCAGGCAATCCTCTTGCCTTGGCCTCCCAAAGTGCTGGGATTGCAGGGGTGAGCCATCATGCCCACCTAATACTCATATTTTTAACATTAAGCTTATTTTAGTATAATTATTTTAAAATTCATAATCCAATTATAGCATATACCAAGAGTTAGCAAGCTTC